CAGATAATATAATACATCCATAGTCTCCTCAAACACATTTAGGAAAAAATATGTACATTCAACAAGTTGCTAATAACAAACAAAAACAAATAGTTTACTTTTACCAAATAATAAGAACCTACGAAGAGACGAACACGTACAGAAAGAAGAAGACCTCCAAATATAGAGATACTTTCACCCAATCATGTGAGACAGGAAGTGGTTTTTATCGCGGGTGGGAACTGGAATACACACACACACACACATAGACACACACACACACACACACATAGACATAGACACACACACACACACACACACAGACACACACACACACACACACAGACACACACACACACACACATAGACACACAAACACACACACACACACACATAGACACACACACACAGACACACACAGACACACACACACACACAAACACAGTCTCTACAACATTCAAAGAAGCAGGAAGTATAATGAAACTATGCAGAGTAAAGAGCTTAAAGGGCATCCCTGTCTCGCCCCAAAGACTATTCCCTGTTTCTTCTGTTTGGCGGCCATTTTGTTTATGTATTTATTTATTTAAATTGTGGACAACATACGACACTTACAGGCAAACAACAAAAAAACTAAACCATGTGTTGCCTTTTTCTTCCTTGTTTTGTTCTTGAAATACTTGTCATTTAGTATAATTAACAACGTACACACAGGATAATGACAGATGCTATTATCATCTGCTCTGGAAGTTTGCAGCTAGTTTGAAAAGACCCATGTCCTGGTGTTCAGTGAGAGAAACCACAGCTGTTTTTCTATAACTGTAACCCACAAACATCTCAGTTTAGAAACTAGTTATTTGACTTTCAGTGAAGAGGTGTCACTTTCAGGAAGTCTTCACACCGACTCAAACTAACTCTACATTCTCCTGTTTTTGTCACATTCTCAACATTTAAACAATACTTTAATCACGTGTTCATGTTTCTCTCTCCATGGACAGTAGCATTTGTTTACAGCTTTGACTTTAACGTTCTTTCTAACTGTTATGTTTTGCTAACTGTGCTTAGCCTATGACACGGGGCCGTCCCTTTAACTCAGTATTTTGACATTCTGGGGTTTTTTAATGTGGCAAAAGGGGAAGCAGTAGGTGGTGAAATGACTGTACGTTTCCCCTTTGCTACAATGAAGCAGAAACCATTAAAGACCTTTTGACGGTTTTATTTATTTAGAAATACAGTTTTAATACCATTTTATATTAGAAGAGAACTACTAAAGGTTTCAAAATCAGTTGTTGTTTTTTTTGTCTGATCCCCCCAAATCGAAATAACCCCATAGCAACGCCCTTAGAGACGAAAAAACTTCACAGCCCTTGGTGACGTCAGAGTGGGTACGTTTCAACGCTGTAAGTTGTTTACAATTTGGTATTCGTTCTTTTTTTGTGGATATTCAAGATGACAAGGCCGTGTACAGCGAGTCGGAGATAAATACTAGATTATAACTCTTAGTTGTCACTGAGATAGTCCAGTTGTTGTGTCGATGGACTGTCAATCCAGATACTTGGGTTTAAATCCCACCTCAGACACTTTTTCACTCTCAAAACGGCAATTTATGTGTAGTGAGCAATTGTCACCTGTAGAGGGCAGTATTGTGTTGGGCATCAGTGGAGAGAAGAGAGAAAAGGCAGTCCTGTGGCATAGATCCATGGTTTTCAATGCATGGGCGTAACCCGCTGTGACGTCACACACAGGTTAGAGCATAGACAGCTTAAATTCATGAAAAACACCTTCTTTTTATAAAATATAGGATTTTTTTTGCCGGAATCTATTTCAAATTGACATTGTCATGCAATTTTGATATCCACTATTTTTTTTTTTTTTTAACCCGTCATAAGGGATTTAAAACATGGTTAACCAAAACTAAAGCAAAGAGTAGGGTTTGAATGTTAGAATCAAGAAACCTTTTCCACAGAACTCTGTCGACTACATCGTATTTAAAAGTGTTTTTGTGTCGCCCTAAATCACAACAGCAGACGTCTCCAGGAGTTTCAGCGGCAACAGATCAGAGAATCAAACAGTGCGGACACAGGCAAATATAAAACTAAGAAACACGGATGACCATGGGCTATAAATGTTTATAAATGTAACTATATTGTTGGACCTTTTTGACTTTTCACCAAATCAACAGGACGGTGATGTCGGAAAAGTTACATGTCGTGACTTTAATCCGTTAAATCAACCTGTTATTTTTGTGTTAGTTATTGATTAAAGTGAGAGACCCCAATTTTGACGCAGCCGGACTTTGGCCCCGCCCACATTTTGTAGCAGGAAGTTCAGTCCGGTTCTGCCTACGATTGGTCCGAACAGAATCTGACCGGACCAATCAGATTGTCAGGGCGGGCTTTATACCGTGATGGACAGATGAGCAAGCGTACAAAGCTTCCAGAATATACGCTATGCTAGTGCTACCATATCAGCTAACATGGTTAAAGGTAAATTACTCAATAGAGCGACGAGGCTTTGTTTTTCCTGGTTTGGTCGGAACACGCCCCTTAATCACAGCCCAGTGGACCAGTGTCAGTGAAACCATCGGGGGTGGATCCTGAATAAGAATTAGCCAATGCTAATCTATAGCATCTTTCCTCTTGAAAACCTCTTTACAGGATGGTCCAAAAGTGGCTCTTTTTTTTGGACCGGTCTAGTTTAGCCGCAGTGGTCTTCAGAATGCACGCGTTAAATGAATGGGGCTAGTGCAGCTAACACATGCGCAAATTAGTTTTTTCACATTATCCAGCCCCCGCGGCCATTTTGAAACTGCCCGTAGAAGGCAAAAGTGGCGGCGGTGGGTTTAAAAACATATATATGCATTAATGTAATATCTGGACCTACTTTAGAAGAGCAACATTATACTAACGAGACAAAAAAGGAAGGTGCAGATTTTATTATTGTATTAGTTTCTTCTTCAGGCTTCCTCTTGTGCTTTAGTTTCTACGACGTGGCCTGTCTATATATGTACGAGCTATTCTTATCCCCCATGACTCCACCAAGCCTCAGGTCTCTCCAAGATGTCTGCCCCTGGTCTCTCCAACATGTCTGCCCTGGTCTCTCCAAGATGTCTGCTCTGGTCTCCAAGATGTCTGCCCCTGGTCTCTCCAAGATGTCTGCCCCAGGTCTCTCCAAGATGTCTGCCCCTGGTCTCTCCAAGATGTCTGCCCCAGGTCTCTCCAAGATGTCTACCCCAGATCTCTCCAAGATGTCTGCTCCGGTCTTTCCAAGATGTCTGCCCCAGGTCTCTCCAAGATGTCTGCCCCAGGTCTCTCCAAGATGTCTGCCCCAGGTCTTTCCAAGATGTCTGCCCCAGGTCTCTCCAAGATGTCTGCCCCTGGTCTCTCCAAGATGTCTGCCCCTGATCTCCAACAAAACCCAAACGTAGAGACCTCCCCGTAGAAGGCAAAAGTGGCGGCACATTAGTTTCAACGGCGGAGATAGAAGTGACTACATCCGTTAATATTTTACACTCTATGGTCTTGGAAGGAAAGCTTTGACTAGAATTTAATGTTTTTGTAAAATATAAACCAAACTGTGGAACGTTCTTTGCTAATGCTAATGCTAATGCTAATGCTAATGCTAATGCGACCTTCTCATGGAACTCGGTGAACTTCTGAGTTTTACACCTACACACTCTGTACATGGAGCTTATTGCATAGAAAGCTGCTGTTGTGATTCAGGGCAGTACAAAAACACATTAAAGTGACTTCTATGGCGTAGCGTCCTGTTGCTCCGGTCGTTCAGACGTTGCTGATTCGCACACTGAGCCTCCGTCCGCGACTGTCGCCTTCGCCTCTGTCTCTGTGACACGGCTCCAGGCGAACCTTCTCCATTTCCGTCGACTCTGAGATCACGCCGCCTCCGTTGCTCTGGAAACCTCCGGCCTTTTCAAAACAGAAAGTACAAAAACACACGTTAAACTGGGGCTGTTCCTGTGGGGTTTTCTGCCAGTCTTCTATCGCTGCTGACCCCTCTCACCTGCACATGGACTGTTCCAACACTCCCCCCTCACCTGCACATGGACTATTCCAACCCTCCCCCCTCACCTGCACATGGACTGTTCCAACACTCCCCCCTCACCTGCACATGGACTGTTCCAACCACTCCCCTCTCACCTGCACATGGACTGTTCCAACACTCCCCCCTCACCTGCACATGGACTGTTCCAACCACTCCCCTCTCACCTGCACATGGACTGTTCCAACCACTCCCCTCTCACCTGCACATGGACTGTTCCAACCCTCCCCCCTCACCTGCACATGGACTGTTCCAACCCTCCCCCCTCACCTGCACATGGACTGTTCCAACCCTCCCCTCAGGCAGGAGCATAGACTGTAAATATTAACAGATGTAGTCACTTCTATCTCTGTTGTTGAAACTAATGTGATACCACTTTTGGCTTCTAAGGGCAGCTTCAAAATGTGAAATAACACATTTGTGCGTGTGTTAGCTGCACAAGCCCCATTCACGAGTGCATTCAAAAGTCCACAGCGACTAAACTAGACTGGTCCAAGATAAATTCACCCCCCTCAGCATTGACACACATGTGGGACTTTTTGACCATCCTGTAAAGACGTTTTTGAGAGGTAAGAAGATGCTATACATTAGCATTGAATAATTCTTATTCCGGGTCCGCCCCCACTGGCCCATGGTGGTATTGCAGCATTTCAGCGCACGTCATTTTGGACATTTTTGAGCAGGGACCCGCCCCCACTGGACAGGAGGCTACAGTCCGGACCAGAACCTCTGAGAACAGTTTGACTCCTCACTGTTTCCTGCCCTTTATTTCATTTCATTTCATTTTATTTATTAGGCAGGAAAGATTTAAAACAAAATCGGGCCTGGCTCAGTACAAACTGATTTTCAGCAGGTTCCTGCTCTGCAGAACACACACACACAGCATTAACATCACCACTCGACACAAAACATACTGTCACACATAAAAGAAGGAACACACTGGTGTGAGGCTATAGTGTCCGTCACTAGTGGTCACAACGATAGCTGTCCGTCAGATGTTTCAGCATAGTCTTTTTAAAAGGTCCAGGTGACTGTATGGTTCTTATGGTGAGGGGGATCTTGTTCCAGGCCCTGGTGAGCTCACAGAAGAATGAATTTTGTCCGTAGGTGTTCCTGTGGTGAGGTATGGGTAAGATTTGGTTTGTGGTGGATCTGGTTGAACGCTCGGATCGAGAGCTGGGTCTTGGAACCAGAACAGACAGTGAGGCCGATGGGCAGTTGTTGAGCAGGTGGAAGTAGAGCTTAATCCCATGGCTCAGGGCGTAGTTCTGGAAAGTCAAGGCCCCAGACTGTGATAGAGCAGTGCAGTGGTGGGTCCAACCAGGGAGCCTGTGGTGGATCTTATATGCTCTATTGTAGAGTCTCGCCACAGGTTCTAGTATTTCCTTAGTTGTGAGCGTCCACACTGGGAGACAGTAGGACAGGGTAGAGAGTATGATGGCAGCGTCCACACTGGGAGACAGTAGGACAGGGTAGAGAGTATGATGGCAGCGTCCACACTGGGAGACAGTAGGACAGGGTAGAGAGTATGATGGCAGCGTCCACACTGGGAGACAGTAGGACAGGGTAGAGAGTATGATGGCAGCGTCCACACTGGGAGACAGTAGGACAGGGTAGAGAGTATGATGGCAGCGTCCACACTGGGAGACAGTAGGACAGGGTAGAGAGTATGATGGCAGCGTCCACACTGGGAGACAGTAGGACAGGGTAGAGAGTATGATGGCAGCGTCCACACTGGGAGACAGTAGGACAGGGTAGAGAGTACGATGGCAGCGTCCACACTGGGAGACAGTAGGACAGGGTAGAGAGTATGATGGCAGCGTCCACACTGGGAGACAGTAGGACAGGGTAGAGAGTACGATGGCAGCGTCCACACTGGGAGACAGTAGGACAGGGTAGAGAGTATGATGGCAGCGTCCACACTGGGAGACAGTAGGACAGGGTAGAGAGTACGATGGCAGCGTCCACACTGGGAGACAGTAGGACAGGGTAGAGAGTATGATGGCAGCGTCCACACTGGGAGACAGTAGGACAGGGTAGAGAGTATGATGGCAGCGTCCACACTGGGGGACAGTAGGACAGGGTAGAGAGTATGATGGCAGCGTCCACACTGGGAGACAGTAGGACAGGGTAGAGAGTATGATGGCAGCGTCCACACTGGGGGACAGTAGGACAGGGTAGAGAGTATGATGGCAGCGTCCACACTGGGGGACAGTAGGACAGGGTAGAGAGTATGATGGCATGCAGGTATGTCCTTGAGACGGGTAATGACAAACATGCTCTGATCTTACCATACACAAACAGTTTTTGGTTTAACTTTTTGGTGAGGTTTTGTATGTGGACACTGTATGTAAGGTGAGAGTCAAGGGTTACCCCCAGGTATTTGTAGTTTAAAGCAGTTGAGAGTTTTTGGTTTGCAATGACAAGGGGGTTGGAAATGGACAGCTGTCTCCGTGGTGAGTGGAAGTACATGCATTCTGTTTTCTTAATGTTAATAGTTAAATGATTGTCTTGGAGCCATCCATGTAAAGACTTTAAATCTGAGTTGAGTTTTTGATTAATGACCTCTGTGTTTGGGCCAGATACAAAGATCACTGTATCGTCTGCATAGAGCAGCGATTGTGAATGGTTTACAGCATTCGGGAGATCATTTATATATATAAGGAACAGCAGGGGGCCCAGAATACTGCCTTGTGGTATCTGTGTTCTATCCTTTAGGTAAGAAATAATCAAATCTATGGCATGTGACGAGAAATTGAGAGAGTGAAGCTTATTTTGGAGAATTAGGTGATGGACCGTGTCGAAAGCTTTGCGGAAATCTATATACACCGCTCCCATGGTGTGTCCCTTGTTCAGGGAAACACGTATATGTTCAGTGAACAAGAGCAGTGCGGACATTGTCGACCGCTGGGGTCGAAAACCATGTTGGGAATCTGTGAGTAGGTTGTTAGGCTCAAGATAATCCACAATTTGGGTGTTTAGTGTTTTTTCAAGTAATTTAGAAATGGTTGAGAGGACTGAAATTGGGCGATAATTTGAGATATTGGTAGGATCGTCTGATTTGAAAATGGGAGTAATTTGGGACATTTTCCAGGTATCAGGAAATTTAGATTGCCTGATACACAGATTTATAACATGGTGAAATAGTGGTAGTAAGGTAATGGCATGGGTTCTCAAAAAATGTATATCTAGATTATTTATGTCACGGGCACGTGAAGCATTAAGAGAGTGGAGTGTATTGATAAGATCATTTTGTGTAATTTCAGAGACGGAAAATCCTTGAGATTCATGGCTTGACACTAGTGGAAGACATTGAGGTAGAGTAAATTTAGAAGATAATTCTTCATAAAAAAAATAGTTATTGAAAGCATTTGCAATTTTATCATGATCCGTGAGGAGATTTCCATTGATTGAAATTTGTAAGCTCCTTGAGTTCTTCGTTTTACTTTCGCCATTTATAGATTTAATTGTGTGCCATAGTGTTCTTGGATTAGACGCACCTAGTTTAATTTGTTTTTCAAAGTATCTTTGTTTGGCTTTACGCAGCTCAGAGTTACATTGGTTTCTGACCTGTGCGAAAAAGATCTTACTCTCAGGGGTCTTAGTAGCTCTGTACCTCTCAAGAGTCCTTCTTTTTTAATAGCTGCATGATTTCAGCGTTTGCCCATGGCAGATTATTTTGTCTGACATGAATCTTACAAATGGTGGTATACTTTTCACGAATTGCACCCAATCGATTGTAGAACGTAGCCAGGATATGATCGGGGTTTTTCAAAGACATCTCGTTGTTCCAGTCAATATTTCCCACATCAGCATTAAACTGCGGCAGCTTTGAAATTGGTATTTTTCTTATAAAGTTGTTTTTGTGACATCTTGGTTTTTTAAGACATTTTCTGATGGCAAATATTAGTGAATGATCTGAGACAGTGGTGTTAATTACTCCAGATATCCCGTATTTAGCTGACTGGTTTGTAAATATGAGGTCCAGTATGGAGTTACGTGTTTTACCATATCTGGTTGGGACTCCCCCCTGGACTGCCACCTTAACGTGGTGGGGGAGTTTGAGTACTCGGATGATCCTGGGAGCTATGCTGTCTGGGGCTTCATGCCCCTGGTAGGGCCTCCCATGGCAGACAGGTCTCAGGTGACGAGTCAGACAAAGAGCAGTCCAGAAGACACCATGGACAGCACTAACACGAAAACAGTGACGTCGCCCGGCATGGCGCAGCCGGGGCCCCACCCTGGAGCCAGGCCTGGGGTCGGGGCCCGTATGCGAGCGCCTGGTGGCCGGGCCTTAGCCCACGGGGCCCGGCCGGGCTCAGCCCGAAGGGATGACGTGGGCAGTCCCTCCTGTGGGCCCACCACCTGCAGAGGGCTCCGTGGTGAAGCGGTGCAGAGAGGACTGGGCGGCAGTCGAAGGCGGAGACCTCGGCGACCCAGTCCGCACACACAACATCTGGCTCTTGGGACGTGGAACGTCACCTCACTGGGGGGGAAGGAGCCCGAGCTCGTGGGGGAGGTTGAGCGATACCGACTAGAGATAGTCGGCCTCACCTCCACACACAGCTTGGGCTCTGGAACCCAACTCCTTGAGAGGGGTTGGACGCTCCACTTTTCTGGAGTTTCCCGCGGGGAGAGGCGGCGAGCTGGGGTGGCCATTCTCATTGCCCCCCATCTCAGCCGCCACGTGTTGGAGTTCTCCCCGGTGAATGAGAGGGTCGCGTCCCTCCGCCTCCGGGTGGGGGACAAGTCTCTCATTGTTGTGACGGCCTACGGGCCTAACAGCAGTGTAGAGTACCCGGCCTTCTTGGAGTCCTTGGGAGGGGTACTGGACGGTGCACCGCCCGGGGACTCCGTTATTCTCCTGGGGGACTTCAACGCCCATGTGGGAAACGCCAGTGACACTTGGAGAGGGGTGATCGGGAAGAGCGGCCCCCCTGATCTGAACCCGAGCGGTGCTCAGTTGTTGGACTTCTGTGCCAGTCGCGGTTTGTCCATCACGAACACCATGTTCGAGCACAAGGGTGTCCACCAGTGCACGTGGCACCAGGACACCCTAGGCCGGAGGTCGATGATCGACTTTGTTGTCGTATCATCTGACCTTCGACCGCGTGTCTCGGACACTCGGGTAAAGAGAGGGGCGGAGCTGTCAACCGATCATCACCTGGTCGTGAGTTGGATCCGCTGGCAGGGGAAGAAGCCGGTCAGACCTGGCAGACCCAAGCGTATAGTGAGGGTCTGCTGGGAACGTCTCGCTGAGCCCCCTGTCAGACGGACTTTCAACTCACACCTCCGGGAGAGCTTCTCCCAGGTCCCGGCGGAGGAGGGGGACATGGAGTCCGAGTGGACCATGTTCTCTGCCTCAATCGCCGATGCGGCGGCTCGTAGCTGTGGTCGCAAGGTCTCTGGTGCTGGTCCCGGCGGCAACCCCCGAACCCGGTGGTGGACACCGGCAGTAAGGGATGCTGTCAGGCTGAAGAAGGAGTCCTATCGAGCCATGATGGTTCGGGGGACTCCTGAGGCAGCTGTCCAGTACCGGCAGGCCAAGCGTGCCGCGGCCCGGGCTGTTGCAGAGGCAAAAACCCGGGACTGGGAGGAGTTCGGAGAGTCCATGGAGCATGACTATCGGTCGGCCTCGAAGAGATTCTGGCAAACCATCCGGCGCCTCAGGAGGGGGAAGCATTTCTTTGCCAACACCATGTACGGTGCGGGTGGAGAGCTGCTGACCTCGACTGGGGATATTGTCGGGCGGTGGAAGGAATACTTTGAGGTTCTCCTCAATCCCCCCGTCACGTCCTCTGTTACAGAGGCAGAGGCTGAGGATGTTGGGGCGGGTACATCCATCTCCCTGGCTGAGGTCACCAAGGTGGTTGGTAGCCTCCATGGTGGCAAGGCTCCGGGTGTGGATGAGATCCGCCCTGATTATCTAAAGTCTCTGGATGTTGTAGGACTGTCTTGGCTGACACGTCTCTGCAACATCGCGTGGCGATCGGGGGCAGTGCCAATGGAGTGGCAGACCGGGGTGGTGGTCCCTCTCTACAAGAAGGGGGACCGGAGGGTGTGTTCCAATTATCGTGGGATCACACTCCTCAGCCTCCCCGGTAAGGTCTACTCCAAGGTACTGGAGAGGAGGTTACGGCCAATCGGCCTTCCTTCCAATAACTCACACACGACAATCAACTCCAATCCAATCCAATACCACTTTATATAAATAGCACAATTAACACAACCAAAACGTTTCCCAAAGTGCTGAACAACATAACAATAAAACAAAAACAATACAAATGAGTTCAAACCAAATAAATAAAATCATGCGGAGCCTTCTTAACGGCGACCCTTACGTAGTTAAAAATTTTCGAGGCCTTGCGGTGACCAAACGCGTTGCGCAAGTGTACGTCACGTCATCCCCTCCGTAAGCTCCGTCCGCCGCGCGAAGTATAACTAGGCTTAAGTGTTTTTTATTTTTTTTCTCCGAAAGGCCATCTAACAAAAACACACTTCTTATCAAAGTGACAACACATGCCCTGAACATTATATTCATTTTCTTATGGCTCTGTGTGGGCATTTCTAATACTAAAGAAAATATCATCTTCCTGGGGGGTAAAGATAATTCATTAGGGTGCCGGACATGGCCCCCGGGCCTTGACTTTGACACAAATGCCATTGAGATAGAGACCATGTCTCTACGGTCTCTCTCTGATTCTCTTGTTCAACTTATAATGCTTTGTGGAAAGAAGCTGGTCTCTCTCTGGCTGTCTCATCTCTGGTCCTCTCTTGGGTCTTTCTCATGTCCTCTTTTCTGGTCCTCTTTGTCTCATCTTCTCTGAACTCACTGTTCTCTCTCTGGTCTCTCTCCCTTTTTCTCTCTTCAATTTCTTCTTTCTGCTCTTTCCCGCTTTCTGTTCTCTCGCTCTTCTCGCTCTGGTCTCGCTCTCTCTCTGCCTCTCTGCTGGTCTCTCTCGTCTGTCACTATCTGGACTCTCAGTCTCTCTTCTCGCTGTTCTCTCTGTTTCTCTCTCTTCTCTCTCAGGACGCTCTCTCTCTCTGATCTCTCTTCCGGTCTCCTTTTTTTCTCTGTGATGTTGTCGAACACAGTCACAAAACTAACAAAGAAACTTTTGATGGTGCAGCATAAAGGTTCAGCAGAGTCAGATTTTGTGCTACAACAATAAGAACAACAAAATGGTTGTGTTCATTACTGTATAGTTTTTATAATGATTTGTGTGAACCATTATCGCCGATAAGACCTAATTATGGTTATATTGTACATAAAAACATAAAACGCAGTTGTTAAATTACAAGTGAATGATCTCCTGTTCCTATACTTTTTTTCCCTTAAACCTTGACATAAAAAACCACAGATTCTGGTATCGACCCTACGTCTGCGCTCTGGAACAACTGCTCGATCAGCGCTTTTGCTCAAGGACACTGGAGCTCTAACTATTGGGCGGGTTAAAAAGGGCCCGTTAATGTTCCGTGCTCAGGAGATTAATAAGGGTAATATTGCTCTGAGAATCCTGTTGTGATCCCATAAACACACGTCTGTTGACTTGTTTGAGATGCTCAAGGAACTAAGTTTGGGAAAACTCCTGCTTCGCCTTGATGTCCGGTTCATTTACAGCACTTAAAGAGCTAAACTTTTGCTCTGAGGCTTAATCTGGATTGTCCCCGTTCATCTTCTGGATTAGTGTGCTAACGAGAGGAGAAACAGCTTTCAAGTCGTGACGGTGAAAGAAGAAAGAGAGAGTTGATTAAAGACAATGTTTGTCCTAGAACAGGAGAAGTCCTTTAGACAATGCTCTCATGTTTGACGGGAGGGGGAGGGGGGGGGGGGGGGGGGGGGGGGGGGTGGTATTTGCAAACAGGAGAGACTAACGCTGAAACGCACATTCTCTCGTTTTCAGACGCAGGGGTCTTCAGACTAGAATCCTGGTGCGCCCGGAGTGGAGGACGTAGCCTTTGATGCTAACAGAGTTTAGCTAGCGGCTTATTGTGTAAAGATCTTCTCCATAATGCAGCTTGGCAGCGTGTGTGTGTTCAGGGACCTTCACGGCACTTTATATACCAGCAGTATGTGTTCACGGAGGTGCCCATACGTTATAATTTATTAATTAAAAGGTATTTCCGCATGGAGCCAACACACTCGAACAGTTTGCATAAAGTCACGGGAGCAAGCAAACTCCACATGAGAACAAGCACTATGTCCCCCACTGTCAACCCTGGTTTAGTCCCCTGGTTTAGTCCTGGTGTAGCTCTGTTTTGGCTGTTTACAAGTATTTTCAGTCTACACGCTTTAGACCGCTAATGTCCCGTGACCCCTTATGCGGCTCTCTGAGTGGTTGCTGCACGAGCGTCCCGAGAAAGGTTCAGCCAAAATTCATCTCATGCGTTCCCTCCCCTTCGACTTCCAGCGCGGCCATGCGTGGCATTCCGAGACAGCTTGTGCGTTTTGAGGCCAAACGCCCCATCACTATTGACTTGCATTGAAAGCCACCGCAACGAATGATCCGGTCTGAACGCGCATAAGGGCAGTAGTGGATGAGCCAGACACTCCACATTTCAACAATATACAGTGGGGCAAAAAAGTATTTTAGGCAGCCACCGATGTGTGCAAGTTCTCCCACCTTAACATAATGACAGTGGCTGTAATTTTCATCATAGTAACACCATCAACTGTGAGAGTCGAAGTAAAAAAAATCCAGGAATTCACATTGTAGGATTTTTAAATGAATTTAATTGTAAATTATGGTGAAAATAAGTATATTTGGCCATAACCAGAATTCAACCCGCAATGAAGGAAGGTTTGGAGCTCAAAATCTCACGATACATGCCACCAATCATTCTTTTCCCTTAACATCGATCAGTCGTCCTGTCCCCTTAACAAAAAACAGCCCCAAAGCATGACGTTTCCACCCCCATAAGCTGCACAGTAGGTATGGTGTTTCTTGGGATGCAACTCTTTCTCCAATCACACACACGAGTTGAGTTATACCAAACAGGGTTCTACTTTGGTTTTCAATTCATCAGACCACATGACATTCTCGCCCAGCTCTGCTGTATCATCCATGTGCTCTCAGGCAAACTTCAGACGCCTGAAAATTCACTGGCTTCAGCAGGGGGAACGCTGGCACTTGCAGGATTTATCCTGTCGTCGTATGTGTTAACTGATGGTCCCTAGCTTCTCTGCAGGTCATTCACACAGGTCCCCCCGTGTGGTTCTGATTTTTGATCACCGTTCCATAATCATATTTGACCCCACGGGATGAGATCGCGTGAGCCCGATCGAGGGAGATTATCAGATGATTGAAATATCGTTTTGGGTTACATTTGGGCTATCTATTCATAACAGATAACGAGTTTAAACCTCTCTAGGCGCCACGGTCGACTAAAAACAGGTGCCATAATACAGGTAACAGGTGGATGACAGAAGAGCTTTCTTAAAGAAGAAGTTAACAGGTCTGTGAGAGCCAGAGATCTCCCTGTTTGCAGGACCAAATACTTAATTTTCCCCACCAAACTTTACAAATACATTCAGTAAAAATTCTAACAATGTGAATTTCTGGATTTTTTTTTTTCACATTCCTGTTTCTCTTCTCACATCGTTGAAGTGTACCAATGATGGAAAATTACAGACCTCTGACTTTATTTAAGTGGGGAGAACTTGCAACAATCGAGGCGGACTAAATACTTTATTTGCCCCACTGTATATTGTTGAATGAGGAAGTGTCCTGGATCATCACAACTACTTGCCTTAAGCCGCGCTCATACCTGTGGATCAATCGTTGCGTGGCTTTCAATCAAAGTCATCGTGATGGGCCGTTATTGAGGCCTCTAAACGCACAAGCGTCTCGAAATGCACGAACTGACCCCGCGCTGGAAGTCGAACGGGGAGGGAACCAAGAGATGAATTTTGCTGACTTTTGGAGTGGGTGGGGGTGGGGGGGGGGGGGGGGGGGGGGGGGGGGGGGTGGGGGTGGGGGGGGGGGGGGGGGGGGGGGGGGGGGGGGGGGGGGGGGGGGGGGGGGGGGGGGGGTGGGGGGGGGGGGGGGGGGGGGGGGGGGGGGGGGGGGGGGGGGGGGGGGGGGGGGGGGGGGGGGGGGGGGGGGGGGGGGGGGGGGGGGGGGGGGGTCCTCGGGACGCTCGGCAGCAACCAGATCAGAGAGAGCCGCAAAGTGGTCGAACGGAGACATTCAGCGGTCTAAGCGAGTAGACTGAAAATACTAGTAAAACAGCCAAAACAGGAGCTACCAACCCAGGACTAAACCCAGGACTAAACCAGGGTTGACATGTGGGGGACATAGTGCTTGTAAAACATGTGAGTTTTCATGCTCCAACCGTGACCTTTATGCAACTGCTTCGAAGTGTGTTCGCCCGATGCGAAATACCTTTTAATAATAAAATAAACGTATTGCGCACCTCCGTGAACCACATACTGCTGTTATATAAATTCCTTGGAAGGTCCCCTACCCACACAACAACAATCACACAAAACGCGCAGAACTGCCATTATTGGAGAAGATCATTCACAATAAGCCGCTAGCTAAACTCTGTTAGCATCAAAGGCTACGTTCCTCCACCCTCCCGGCGCGCACACAGGACTTCTAGTCTGAAGACACCCTGCTCTGAAAACTAGAGAATGGCGTTTCAGCGTTAGTCTCTCCTGTTTTGCACTAAAGTCAAACATGAGAGCAATGTCTAAAGACTTCTTCCTGTTCAGACAACATTGTCTTTAATCACTCTCCTCTTGTCTTTCTTTTTCAACCGCACCGACCATGAAAGCTGTTTCCTCCTGTTTTACGCACACACTCCAGACAAGATGAACCGGGGAACAATCCAATTAGAGGCCAGAGCAAAAGATTAGCTCTTTAAAGGGCTGAAAGAACCGGACCCAAAGTCGAAGCAGGAGTTTTCCCAAACTTAGTTCCCATGAGCATCTCAAAAACAAGGCTCACAGACTGTGTTTATGGATCCCAACAGGCCATCTCACAGATGCAAAATTACTACCATAATAAACTCCCTGAGCACGGGAGCAATAACAGCGGGGCCATTTTTTAAACCCGCACCCCAATAGTTAGAGCACCTGTGTCCTTAGAGCAACGCCTGATCGATAGTTTGTTCCAAGAGCGAGACTTCGTCGATAACCAGAATCAGTGGTTTTTAATGTCAAGGTAGAAGTGAAAGGACAGAGATCATTCACATGTAATTTAACGAACTGCTTTTTATGTGATTTTTTATTGTACAATCTAACAATACATTTAGGTCGACAATCGAACGATAAGGTCACAGACAATCATTATAAAACTATACAGTAATGAACACACCAATATTGTTTGTTCTAGATTGTTGTAGCACAAACTCTGACTCTGCTGAACCTTATTGCTGCACCCTCAAAAAGTTTTCTTTGTTAGTTTTGTGACTGTGGTTCGCAACATCACAGAGAAAAAAAGGAGACCGGAGAGAGATCAGAAGAGAGAGAGCGACCAGAGAGAGATAAGAGAGAACAGAGAGAACAGCGTAGAGAGAGCACAGAGAGACCAGATTGACCAGAGAGAGAAGACCAGAGAGAGCAAGAGAGAGCGAGACCAAGCGAGAAGAGCGAGAGAACAGAAAGCGGGAAGAGCAGAAAGAAAGAAACGTAGAAGAAAAGTGAGAGAGACCAAGAGAGACCATGAGTCCAGAGAGGAAGATTAGAGACCAAGAGAGACCAGAAAAGAGACCAGAGAAAGACCCAAGAGCGACCAGAGAGAGACAGACCAGAGAGAGACCACTTCTTTCCACCAAGCAGTTATAAGTCTGAACAAAGATCAGAGAGAGACCCGTAGAGGACATGTTCTCACACTCAATGGCATTTGTGTCCAAAGTCAAGAAGGCCCGGGGGCCAGGTCCGGCACCCAAATGAATTATCTTTACCACCCCCAGGAGGATAGTTTATTAGTATTAAACGTGGCCCACACAGAGACCATAAGAAAATGAATATAATGGTTCAGGGCAATGTGTATTTCACTTTGGACAGAAGTGTTTTTGTTAGAGAGCCTTTCCGGAGAAAAAAAAATAAAAACACTTTAAGCCTAGTTATTACTCGCAAGCAGGCCGCGGTAGCTTACGGAGGTACGTGACTGTCACCATAGCGCAACGCGTCTCTGGTTCACCCCGCCAGGCCCCCTCGAAATTTTCTAACTACGTAAGCGGGCTCGCCGTAAGGCGAAGCTCCGCTGATTTTCTATTTAATTATGTGGAACTCATTTTGTATTGTTTTTGTTTTATTGTTATGTTGTATTCAAGCACTTTGGAAACGTTTTGTGTTTAAATGTCAAATAAAAAAAGTGGATTGGATTGATTGGAATGATTGGTCCGTGTGTGTGTATTGGAAGGGAAGCACGGAGCGGCTGCAGCAGGGACATGGACGAGGCACTAATGGAGCAGAGAGCCATTGTGCTCTTGGAAGGAAAAGCAGTTTGGGCTCAAGCCTGATATACCAGAAACTGTGGACTATCTAACTATATATAGCTTATTACACTGTGCAGTCGTTTGTTTTGCCAACTGTTGTCCTGTCTTGCTTTAATCGTAGCTGCGTTTTGTTGCTTTCCTCCTGCACTCGTAATCGTTCATGGTTTGTCCCCAATATTAACCACTATTATTGTTTTGCTGTTTAGTGCATGAAAACAATTAAATAATAAACTATGTTTCCTCCAACCAGAACGTGTCTTTAATCACAAGCATCACAAGGTGAAATGACTTATTAAAATAATGAATCCATAAAACTATCACATAAACCTTACCGTAGAAACACGTGATACTGAGACTCAAACAGCTTTGTTTTGGCTATGTTGTTCGGAAGAGGACAAGTAGCAAGCGACATGGACCCGCCGTCCTGTGAGTGATCGCCCTCAATGTGGTTGTTGTGGGATTTAACACAAAACAAAAAAAAAAACAAAAAAAGACTAAAATACAATCAATTACACCAAAACAATACACTCAAAAAACATAAAAAAAACAAATAAAACAACACACGGTTCTCCTCAAAAACTCCGTAAGGGGAACGCAGCCAGTATAACGTCCACTTGTGCTTAACGTAGGACATAACCGCAACCGCTAACGTAAGCACGGCCCGCGACCAGTCACACTAGGCTTTAGAGACCAGAGAGAGACCCACACGAGTGAACCCCGAGAGAGACCAGAAGAAAGAGAGGACCCCGCTTCTTTCAGTTGTTCTCAGTCTGAGCAAAGCACTTAATGATCATGTATTGAGTAATTTGTTTGATTTAGTCATCACATTACGATGTTTTCTTTACTCTTCTAAGTTACTTCTTTTTGCTTGTTTTATTTTATTAACTTGTCTAGAGTGCAACACTAAGGGGATGTCATGCACATGTAGTTCCAAAGTGGTTTTTAACTGCTCACGGCAAATAAACTGAATCTGAATCTTGTGTTCAATGGGGGCTTTAGGGTAAATGGCCCCAAGACAATAAATGTTAGGGGACAGACATCTTGAAGATAGAACCCTAATCCATAAATTTGATTCTCTAACATTTACACGCCCTCCTCATTGCTCCTCCCGTAGCCTGACTATCACTTGTCCTCTCGTTCGCTAGTGGGAGCAGGCGGCATCAGATTTAAGCTATGTTTATGAATCAAAACAAACATTTCCATGGTTCAATGAAAATTTAATATGGAGAAGCCAGAGCTAGTCTTTATAGCAGTGTCCACATTTGTGTGCGTTTGTTATTTCAATTCTCTGTCTCGGGGAGCAGCCCAGGCTGTCACTCAGCCCAGGTAGGGGAGGAGGAAGCTGATAATGAAATTTGAGCAAAAAAATGTGGTAATGACGGACTGCGTTACATTTTATAGCTTTTTAGAGCTGCTAGCAGTATTCCAACGTCACTGAAGAAGCGCCACAGATTGGAGTAAACACTAGGGCTCCCATTTGGTACCATATACAGAAATGCATGGTTACAGGAGGGGTCCAGGTCCAGGTGGTTAGGTGTTAGGACGATCTAGTACGTGTATTTCACATATATTCTGCCTGGACCTATATTCCTCTAAATCTATGTTTTGACAATCAAAACATTTTATTACACATTTATGGACATTGGTCCCCCGGAGAGTATTCTTTCCGAGGTCCCGGTGAGGAGGGGGATACATCGAGTCCGAGTGGACCATTCCATGTTTTCCACCTCTATCCACCGATGCGTGGCTCGTAGCTGTGGTCGCAAGGTCCTGGGGTGCTGGTCTGGCGACAAATCCCAAACCCGTGGTGAGCACCGGTATAAGGGAATGCCGTCAGGCTGAAGGAGGTCCTAATACGAGCCATGATGGTTCTCGCGGAACTCCTGACGGCAGCTGTCCCAGTACCGCCGGCCCAAGCGTGCCGCCGCCGGGCTGTTGCACACTGCCAAACCACAGGACGGGACGGATTTCGAAGAGGTTCTATGGAGCATGACTATCGGGTCGGACCTCGAAAAAGATTCTGGCAAACCGTCTGGCGCCTCAGAGGGGGAAGCAACAACTTTTGATACGAGTGGTGGGGTGCTGACCTTGAACTCGAGATACTGTTGGGACGGAGGGAAAGGAATACTTCCACCCACAATTTCTGCATGTTGTATGACTGTCTTGGCCAATGGAGTGGCCCAGACCGGGTGGTAGTCCCACTCTACAAGAAGGGGGACCCGGAGAGGGTGTGTTCCAATTAATCCGGAGGATCACCACTCCTCACTCCCGGTACGGTCAACTCCAAGGTACCTGGGGTATTAAATTCAACCCTTCAAAAGACAAGTATGTTTTGTGCTTTGCTAAAGCGTCCTAGTTAAAAAAAACACATAGATGGTCAAGTGTCAAGTTTGAGGGCAACAACATCTCCTTCTCAATGAGACAAAGCTCTTGTGCAACAATCAGCATGACTTGAAATTAAAAGCGTTATGTTGAGGACTTGTGTAAAGGGGGCAAGGAAGAAATGTTTTGTATAGAGGCTCTTAAAGTGGATCAATAATCGTGTTTCAAAAATTGATTTTACATCTAATCCTTAATTTGTGGCCTATCTGCAATGCCTGGGTCTGAGTCACATTTATTTGTAGCTCCACGCCTTTCTTCTACACCTTTCTGAGTGCTCTGAGAGCAACCTGTTTTGGTGCTGTCTCTTTTAAATGCAAATGATGCGCTTTTGACCACGACCCCCAACCAGGTGACACAGGTTTCAAAACTCCAC